GGGGGCGCCTGTATTTGCCGGTAAGTAACTCTAGCGCTTACCCGCATTGACCCATTGGGTTTGTCTACATGGAGACCTGCTCCGGTTTAATTAAACCAGATTAACCCTCTAGGTGGATGCCCTTAATGCAGCTGGAATGGGTTATTCCAGTTTAGTTTCGCTCTCAGAGTTATACTAAACTGGAATAAAGCACCCAACAGGGTAAGGATGTCCACATGGGTGGGTGGGGGGCTTGATCTGAATTAACTAATCCAGTTTCAGCAGGCAATCAGCCATGCAACGCAGTCCCGGCTCCCTGGAGGTGCTGAGCTGTATCCACAGCAGATGAAACACCACGTGGAGGAGTCTCTTCCCTCCGCTCTCTCTGTGGGGCCGACTCAATAAAACTCCGCTTGCAGTGAACCCAGGCGTCCTGTGAGTCTTCCCCCTGCACCTCAGCTGGGTCAAAACTGTAGACAGCCCCTCTGCAGACCCACCAGCCAGCTGGGCTCTGGGCGAGACCAGTAGCCAGCGTCTGCTGAAGTGGATTCACTCCTGTTAGCTTGTGACGCCCTCTGGTGTCTAAACCATCCCCTCTGGTTGCTCCTCCCTTAAACCTCATCCCCCAGGGGGCTCATGCCCCACGGAGACCCAGCTTCAAACCCCCTCACCCCCTGCCCAGATCCAGACCCCTGAGGAGCTCATCCTTTAGCCTGGAGGCCTGTGTGTCTCCCCGCCAGAGCGGGGGCAGCCTGGATGGGGCAAAGTGTCCCGCTCCTGTTGCACACCCAGCTCCCTTGCCCCATGGGGGGTCACTTTCCACGGCCCCCTCAGTCCTCGGCTGCTCTGCGGGGGCTGCCGGCCAAGGGGCCCGGTTCTGATTAGTGCCCATGGCTGGTAGAGTTTGAGTCGTGCGGGTGCTGCCTTCCTGGGAGCCAGTCTGGGGCCACTTCACATGGGAGACAACCAGTGACCAGACCCAGCAGCACCAACCTGGGCTGGATGGGAGCTGGCGCCCCCTAGAGGGGACAGGCCCCATTCCCCGCCCCCTTGAGCCAGCCATTCTCTGCCCTGGGGCCAGACGGGAGCCAGGGCCTCCTAGAGGGGACAGGCCCCATGTCCCATTCTCTAATACCAGTAAAAGCCCAGGACACAAAACAGAACCCTCTACCCACGTAACAAAAGCCAGAAGGTCTAGAGATGGTGCTTGGTTCTGCCATGAGTGCAGGGGACTGGACTTGATGACCTCTCAAGGTCCCTTCCAGTCCTGTGATTCTGATGTGTTTTCTCCTGCCTGTTCCCCTGGTCTCTGGCACTGCATCAGGTAGGAAGCTCAGACACGCCTGAGGATCTTGCTAGCTGCAGCCGACCTCTCTTCGTGGTCGATCCCGCTCTGCAGGGCCAACTCTGACTCGGGCTCATAGTTCATCGTGGCAGGAAAGATCCCAGCGCCCGCTCACGGGAATAAGAGAAATAGAGCTCCCAGTGTAGAGACAGAACTGCCCGAAGATCGGGGGCTCCATTATTGTCATTAAAGCAGCTTTTATTTTGCAGTAAAAAGAGTTTAACTCATTAACAGCCATGCACAAGTGCATGGGAAGCAAACCCACAGCACAGCAGGAAAATGCGGGGGGGGGGGGACAGCGGGAAAGGAGCAGGATGTTTATTATCAAGGGAAGAAACCAGCCTTAGGAAAAGCCCCCTCCCTCCCCCCAACTTGAACTTTCCAACTTCCTCGCATAGCGAGCCGAGTTCCCAGGCTTAGCACTGCACCGAGATCCTTTGGGCATTAGCAGAACACACCCCCAATGCAGATCTACACAGGGGACAGGGCTCGTTCATCCAGCCGGGCTGCAGAGATGGAGGGTGCCAGAGTGTGGCTGGGCTCCGGACAGCTACTGTCAAACTGCCCCCTGGGCCTCTGGCCCCACAACAACGCCAGGTCAAGAGTGCCCGGCCTACGAGTTAAACACCTGGCAGCCAGGTGTAAACTACTGCCCCCACCAACTGCCCCGGGATCAGAGAGTCAAGCTCGGTTGTTTCTGTCTTGGGCACCATGACTAATAAGAACGGTTCTGCAGAGCAAATCTTGTCCTCACTGATCCCCATGCTGCACCCCCGCCCCATGCAGCCCACATCCCCTCCCTATCCCACCTCCAGTAACCTCTGCCTCCCCGATGACCCCCATGTAGCCCCCATCCTGGCAACTCTTGTCCCTGCTCCCAGTGACCCCCTCACTCTAACCCACTAGACCCCACTCCTACAGCTGGGGATGGAACCCAGGAATCCTGGCTCCCAGCCCCCTCCCTTGTCTAACCCACTGGACCTCACTCCCCTCCCAGAGCCTGGGGAGAGAACCCAGGAGTCTTGGCTCCAAGCTCCCTTCCACTAACCACTAGATCAGAAAAATTAAACACCGAAGACTGAATCCAGGGCTATGTCAAATACTTCCCAGCAAATTGCTAACACAGTATTTAACAGGGCTGGCTCTAGGCACCAGCAAAACAAGCTGGTGCTTGGGGCGGCACATTTTTAGGGGCGGCATGGCCGGCGCCAGAATGCCGCCCCTAAAAATGTGCCCCGGCCGCCCTAGCTCACCTCCGCTGCTGCCGCTCGCGCGCCGCTACTCGCCCTCCCTCCCAGGCTCTCAAACCTGGGAGGGAGGGGGAGACTCCGAGTGGCCGCGGCGCGGGCGCCGCTTCTCCCCCTTCCTCCTAGGCTTGAGAGCCTGGGGGGAGGAGGCAGGGAAGGGGCGAAGTTGGGGCGGAGTTGAGGCAGGGCCGGGAGTGGGGTAATTAAAAAACGGGGGGGAGGAGGCGGCCAAAATTGTTTTTGCCTTGGGCGGCAAAAATCCTAGAGCCGGCCCTGGTATTTAATATATTAGAATCAGATATTTCTTCACAGTTTTGAGGCAAGAAAATTCATCGAGTTTTGCTTTTTCCAGACCGAAATACCAAGGGTAAGTAAGGGACAAATGTTCAGAAAAAGAGACCCTAAATCTGTGGGTAAAAACATACAATTTGTGTTCATAATTTCTGCAATTGTGAGTAGTTTGCCATTTGATTGGCCATAAATACACATAATTTGTCAATTTCAGGGCTGGCTGAACTCTCAAATAAATTCCGGAGAAGGTTTAATTCTGCTGGGTTTGAAAACAAACTGACTTTTTAAAAATATATATATTTTCTGCTGAATTTTTGTTTTCCTTTTGGATGATTCCGTCCTTTTTGAAAGCAATGTTCCAAACAGAAAAAGTTCATTTTTGAAACTTTTTTTAATGGGGGGGAATCCCAATAAGGACTAGCAGGAAGCCCCCCAACGATAAATGAAAAATATCAAATTGTTGGCTTTTTGTTTGTTTGTTTTTTCAAAAACGGTCACATTTTGGAGAAAAATCCCAACATTTTTTTGCTAAAAACTTTCCTTATTTCCCCTCAGCAAGTGGCCAGACATTTCCAAACCAAAACTGGTTTCCAGACTTACACTTTGCATCTAATTGTCTTAAACTAAATTGCAGAGACAGTCAGTGTAGCAAACCCGGCAGGGTTCCCTGGTGTAGACGCAGCTCACGCCAACACCAGGAGCTTTTCGGATGGTACAACAAGCACCACCTCCCGAAAAGATGATAGTGAATCCGCTGGAAGCGCTCCTCTGTTGACACAGTTGTGTCTGCATTGGGGGTTTTACCAGCACAGCCATGGGGTGTGTGTGTGGGTGGGGGGGGGAGTGTTGTTGTTTTTACACCCTGCCCAACACAACAATGCCCGTAGAAGTTTTAAGCATAGATCAAGCTTCACACTGGTTACTCCTCAACCAGAACAAAGCGTATCCACAGGGGGGTTGCAATGGTTTTACTCCACCATGTAAAAACAATTTAGGTCTTGTCTACACGAGGAAGTTGTACTGCTTTAGCTCATCCCGTCTAGCTATCCCACTGCAGTGTGGAGGCAGCTACACTGGCATGTCGGTGCCTATTCCCACAGGGGAAGGGGACTAAGCTAAACCAGTAAAGGCCCCTTTACACCAGTATAACTGTTTGCACCCAGGGGGCTGTGCTGGTTTCTCCGTGTCAGTTAAAATGGCACAGCCCTAGCTGGGGTTGACACCTGGCTGGTTTTTCTCCTGCTGGTTGCCATGCACCAGGGGGGTTTTCACTCATAAGCCACGTGGCCGCGCAGAGACCTTGGGAGGACTGTGCCGGGACACGTGGTGGAGAAGGGAGGGTGGGACGCCAGGCTCACCAGCAGGGGGAGTCAGGAGCGGGTACAGGGGCGCGGGGATGGGGTTTGAGCCCCAGGGGTTGCCTGAGAGAGGAAGAAGAGGGTCAGGATGGTGGAGGTGAGGGGCAAAGGCTATTTTGGGGGAGGGGGTGTTGGATCTTGGAAGGGGCAGCCCAACTAACCAGCATTGTAGCCCGGTACGATTCTCAAACGTAGAGGGAAACCCATACGCTCGCCGTAGCCCAGCTGTGAGCCTGGGTCTTCGGCTTTTGAAATCGTGGCCCTAAAACTCAATTGCTGCTGCCTCGGTGTCTGCCAGGGCTCTGAGGCTGCGACCGCCCGACTTTAACTTCTCAATGAGGCCCTCGAGTTCCCCCGCGGCCAGGAATCTCGTGCCGGCCTCACCTCCTGGGCTCATTAGGGGCAGCACCTGCTGGACGATCTCTCCGAGGACACTGGCTAGCTCCTCAAACATCAGCAGGTCCTCGGTGAGCCTCTTAGCCACGCGGACCTTCCCTGCTAGCCCATTCATGAAGGTAACACATTTCCTCAGCCCGTTCTGCAGGGTGATGATCTCCCCCTGTAGCACGGCCAACGCCTGTTGCTCCGCGTTGATCTGAATCAGTCGCTGCTCATTTGCCGCGATCTCGGCCTCCACCTGCCGCTCCTGTTCGTCGTACCTGCAGACTTCTGCTGAGTAACTGGACACTTCGTTCGTGTATCGATCAACGGCATCCTGGGCCTCGCGTGCGGCTTTCTCAGCGGCATCCAAAGCTACCTGCCCACAGCCGACCATGATGGAGCCTGGTGGAAGCGAATATAACTAGTGGTAGGATGATGATTATTACTGGTATCACACTAGTGCGTGGAGGCCTTGATCGAGATCAGGTCCCCCCCATCAGGCCAGGCCCTGCACAGACCCCTCCCGACCAAGTCTGGAGCCCTATCCACCGGGGCTGTGCAGATTACCCCACCCCCAACAGAGCTCAGGGCCCCCGTCATGCCAAGTGCCGTGTGGACCCCCAACAGGGTCCAAGCGCTGTACATGGGGAGGGGTCCTGACTCCCCTAGCTAGCGGCTAGTTCCAAGTAGGGTTACCATATTTCAGCAAGCAAAAAAGAGGACAGGAGGAGCCCTGCCCCTGTCCTGCCCTGGCCCCGCCCCGTCCTGCCCTGGCCCCGCCCCTGCCCCTCCCACTTCCCCCCCCCAGAACCCCAACCCTCCCCCCGCTCCTTGTCCCCTGACTGCCCCCTCCTGGGACCCCTGCCCCTAACTGCCCCACAGGACTCCACCCCCTACCT